GATTGTTGATGTAGTGGAACTACTACGTAAGCGTCCTTCAAGTCTATTTTGGCAATGTAATCGTTTGGTTCTACTAAATCTCTCAGTGCTGGTATTCCTTCCATTTTGAAACGATGGCACTGGATGAAGTTGTTGATTTGTTGACAGTCCAATATTGGTCGTCGTTTGTTTGGTTCTTGAATAGTGAAAAAATTCGACAGAAAGTTGGTGTTTTGTGTTGGTGATACTTCGATTATTCCTGCATGTAGGAATTTGTCTACCGCCTCGTTCACTGCTAATTGTTCGATCTGGTTTAGTGATATTTTGCGTAACTTCCATGGTGTGGGAACTGAATGAAAATGTATCTGGTATCCCTGTTGTACAACTGTTACTGGCCATTTGTGGTTGGTTATTCTCTTCCATTGACTTGCAAAGTGCTGTAACCTTCCTCCTGGTTGTATGCCATCTTGGGGAATAGTATAGTGTAAGCTGTTGACAGTTAGTGTGGATGGAAGTGGCGAAGTTACTGCTTGTTCTGATGTTCGTTGTTGTTGTTGCTGTAGTACGCCTGGTGATTGGTTGATTGATGGCCTTGGGATAAAAAATGACCTCGTCCTCGTGATCCTCTATAACTCCCTCTTGAGTTTGAGTTTTCATTCTTACCTCTTGAGAATTGTCCATATCCTCGTCCTCTATTATTGTTAAAGGAATTTCTTTGAAGTAAGTCTCTTTCGAAGATGGCTTGGTGATACTGTTGCATAAATTCATCGCTAAAGGCGTTGTTTGATTTGCTGTCCTCTCTTTTTGGTAACAAATGTTGTACGCTGGCTGGCATGTTGAGAGCTTCTGCAGTGCGGATTTTTGCTTCTCTTTCCTAGAGTTTTCCCTGTAAGAGACCAAAGATTGCCAAACGATGGCTCTGTGTTTGAGCTCTGTTAAGGAGTGGTCTGGGGTCTTGTCCTCCTTCGATGATTTCGAGTACGTGAGTGAGTTGTTCGTAAATTTCAATGGCTGCTTTGGTTTGCTGTCTGGTAGTTTCTGTAAGTTTATAAATTTCGTTAATGACTTCGTTGGCCCCAACTTTTCTTTTTTGGAGTTCGTTATAGAGAGATTTATTGATTCTTTCTGGAGTAAGCCATTCTTTACTATTATATCGTTGCAGGTCACGTTTGAATCTTTTAATATTATCTTGAAGTTATATCTCTGTGTTGTTCTCCAATTCGGTAAGGATTTCCACCGGTATTGGTACTCCATTCGATCTTTGTTCTTGTTTGGTTTGCATTCTTCGAGAGAACTCTTGATAGAGTTCTTCCATGCTGAATTCTGATAAAGATGTGTTGACATTCTCCATAATTTGATCCACGAATGCGCGGCTTTTGAAGGTATAAAGAAGAAAGGGGATCATTTAGCTATTATTACTATATATTATTTTATTAAAAAGGGAAAATAAAGCGCAGCTCTTGGAGCCTGTACCACATTGAATGACGGAACGGAGCCAACAAGGATTGTTGTAGGCACGACCAACAATTGATTAAACAAGAAACATGACCTAACTTATTCTAATTCAGTCACTACTTTGGTCGAATTGTACGTAGAGAGACTGTAAATTGGGCACAATGCTGTCAAAGTTTTCTGTAATCGCATTTGGCTCTCCTTCGCGGTGTGTGAAATCCATGCATGCGCGTCCATCAGCAGAGATGTAAAATTCAGGCTTAATCCATGTATTTGAATGACTAAATGTCGAACGCTTCGACAAATCCCAAGGGTGCTCAGTGGCATTTGGTATGTCTGAGCTTATAAAGTGACGTCTGTCCGTAATCTTGTAAAGGTTGGCATGAACAAATAGTAGTAAGTCTTCGGTCTTGGTTGGATAATATTGAAGCATTGTGTGTCCACAGAAACGGTCTCCTGCCATGGTTCCCGCCATGCCTAAAAAAGCTTCAATCATATGATAGGGCGCATTTAGTGCCTGCCATGCATATTTAAAAGTATCCTTGTCTCCATTTAAAAACTGAAAGTAAATTTCGTGTTGATCTTGCATATACCAAGCAAGCTGAAGTGGTAGCCATGACTTGACCTTATCAATTACCATTTGTCCCGACTATCATGAATCTTTTCAGTACCCTATAAACACTGTCTTTATATATATATATATATATATATATATATATATACCTCTTGTTCCCACTCGTCACGGCAAGAAATATGAAGTATTTCAAATATTTTATTGTCTCCATGTGTTTTCCTGCAATGTTGAATTAGTTATGAATGTATTATTCTTTAAGTTATTATTTACCAAAAGTCGGGCCAGAACAATGCACCTGTTTTCTTATACTCGGGTGTATCAAATAAGAAGGTAGGGTCTCTTGCGGGAATATTGTCTGAGTCGAGATACAAAATTTCCTTAAAAGATGAATTGATGACAGCTGCAGCTTTAATTTGAAACCTACATAAAAAAGATTAAAGATTGCACATGAGACCCCGGATATATGTTTACTGCTTATCAGCGTTTCTTCTAGACTGAATAGGTCGAGGCAGGTTTGGGTCAGAGAGGTCCTTGGCAACAGCACCCAAAGCTGCCAATTCATTTTGTACAGTAACAGAAGGTTGTTCATCCGAAAGATGCCATACTTCAATATCCAAATCGCAGTGATGCATATGCCTCAATATCTTGATGGAGTTTAAAGCGCGGTGGAACGTATCTTGGTTGCCTGCTACAATAACAATACCTTGTCCTTCAAAAGGTGGTATATTGTTCTCTCTTTTGACAGATGTAATAAACCTTTGCCATCTTTTTCGGTATACTTCTATTGCCTCGTTGCTTAATCTTCTCCACATGTCAATATGAGCATTTACATGATTAGGGTCTGTATTTCGAATAACAGTATTTGTGTTGCAAGCATCTTTATTTATGCTTCCCTGGTTGAATAGACGGTGATCAGTATCATCATCATATTCTTGCATAAGCCCTGCCTCTTCATTTGAAGTATAGGAAGCAGAATATAAGAAATAGACAATGAAAAATATAAACACTATCGCCAAGGTTAACAGCCTAAACCTCGAGCTACTATATGTCATTTTTTTTAATGAAGAGAAGAATTATTGATGGAAGTGTTGCACTGATATTTTATTTTTTATTTTTAAATACGGAGTTTCAACATGCAAATCATTTACATTGATGTCATGTTACGGTGACACATGGGACAGCGATGGTTCCATACTTTGAATTAGCGTGTAGCCTAGTTGAATCATAGCCTCTTCCTTAGCGTCTACTAGTGTAGCTCCTTGTTTCTTCGAAAAGCAAGTGTTGTCTTTTGTCTTGATTAGGCTTTTAATTTGATTTTGACACTTTTCAAACACATAACTGGATGAAGGTCCTTCTTCTAGCTTTATCCTTACTTGTTCAATTTGCTTACATACTTGACGTATATCATGCTATAAGTAGTATATAAGTAACTTAGTCTCTGACCTCTAAATCATTATTACCTGTTCCTGCCTCACAATAAGATTCTCATTTGTAGAAAACCCCAAGACTTGCATAAGCATCTGAGCGTCGGGTGATAAAAGCATCTTGGCAGATTGAGTATCGAGTAGTCCAAACTGGAATAGGGATTTTAATGTATTTTGACTATACTCTGCTGATAACACTTCGCTATAAATCGTTCTTCTTCCACTTATCAAATGCATACCAATCCACTGTGTTAAGAGAGGCACTAATGAATATGGTAGTGCCTTTACGTCGTCTAACAATGCTGAAAGTGCACAGAGTGTTACCCAAAATGAATCGATGGTTGGATATACAAATGATGCTAATAGATTAAAGTACTGGTTGTTATTTATGTCATCTTTATCATTCTGCTTGTATTTTTCAGTGAGATGATTGTATTCCTATGATAACTGAGTACACTGTATAATCTCATCCTTTAACATTTACCTCCTTAATATTCCAATTAGCTGAAAAATAGTATTGAAATAAAGTTGCCAAGAACTCAAATCGTTCAAAAAAGGTAACATTTGTATCATTGTTGCCTTTAGACCCTAATGAAAGATAAACAACCGCAAAAATAGAATCAAGTACAAATATCTCTTGTAGCTAGAATGAAATTTAGTATGAGAATAATAATAAACTGCATGGTACTTTTACCTGATTGGCATAATAGGCTAGTTGTAATATGCTGTCTGATTCTATACTAATACGAATGGCCGTATGATTATTCTTTTCTTCTATTGTGATAGCATCTGAGCCCTTTTCAAGCAATCGAATACTATAAAAGATGATATTCTCACTATCCTCAAAGTCTTTTTATGCTTGTTAATACACGTACAAGGTTACTAATATACATATACCTTGCCAATCTATTGGGATACCTTGAGCCCTTATAAACTCATACAGATAGCCTAAATACTTCTTTACAGTTTCTATATTCGACATGATTGTAAGATATCCTGGCTAATCTCCCTCTTTCTTTTTTTCTTTTTTGAAAGCATGCTTACCTAAATCAATCACATTGCCTTGTACTCTGCTATATAGTAAAATGGCTGCCACTAGTGACACTGGGCTTAATACAGCAGATTTCTTTTGCTCTTTCTGTATTTTGTCTGCAAGATCGCCTGTATCTGAAGAGATAGGGTTTCCAAATCCAATCAAGATTTTACCATAGTGATGAACATGAGTCTTATCCCGGTCTTCCTCCAGTTTTAGTAAATGTAGCTGTCCATGACCCAGACTACGACTCCTCACCCTCTGTGCTCTACTATCGCTCGGCCTACTAACTTTTGTCGGTGTTGACATTCGATAGGATCTGGAACGGCTAAGACTGGATACATTCTTGCCTGCCTTGGGATGATGGAGACCATGTTTGACTAAATTTGCCAAATCAGGTACTTCTTCATATGTCATGTTGACAGGAATAAACAAGGCATTTTCTTTATCTTGAATCATGCTTAGCATTCCATCATCGAACGGCTTTTGATACAGTCCAGAGCGCGATCTAACTTTTTCTAGCACCATCGTTACCGCGCCTCTTTCTCGTAAAAGGTGCCGCAAGTAAGCAGATGTTACCGCTGTAGTCAGTGTTGATCTTCCATGAGGATCTCTCTTGATAAAGACGGCACCAGCAAGTCGTAATATATCTGAGAAGGGACCAAGGATAGCCAAGGCTTCATCTAGTAGTAGCACTGGGATAGGTAGATTATAACGAATAGCAATAAACCAAACGATGATAGGATCCAATACTGTTCTTGAAACAGGGACATAAATAATCTTCTTTTCAGTTTCTCCTATAGCTTTTTGAATCTATAAATGTAATCAATATGTATAAGCAAACAAACCCAGAAATAAACAAAGATTGAAGGCTTTTACCTTTGCAAGATCATCTTTATTAATACGGATACAACTAAACATGTTTTTTAACAGCTTTTCTAAAAATGAAGCAGCAAACCAGGCGTATGGTAGTTGTGTCCTCTCTTGTATTCTATTGAGAGATCTGATCGCTTCCTCCATTACCTTTTCTGCTGGCATACCCGACCTTTTTGAAACCTATCTTTCCTTACAGTAGTCTACTTTAAATCATGTGTAGACACATACCTGTTGTATAGCTTCTATCACATTTGGATCATTTAGAACTGCTACTTTAGTCATCTCGGTATTTCCGGTCAGTCTCCATCGTTTGGCAAGGTTGTTTTTTGAATTAGTATCCAGTGTTTCTATCATCGTACACCAATCTTCGAGTGTGTCGTTTATGTACTCTATCCAAACAGGCTTCCATACTTTCTCTTCTTTCAATGATTGGGCTAGATGATGAAGCGATTTGATTGTGATATCCATCATGTCTTTCATTCGTTGCTTCATCTCTTCCTCTGTATATACAATACTTGGGAACGGCTCATCAATGACTTCTGGATAATACTGGTTTTCCTCATCCGGTGCCATGGTCTTGGACTTGTCTATAGAATAAAGTGCACAAGTGCTTGTATCATCTAATGTAGGAGCTCTCACATGGACGCCACCATGTAATGAATAAATCTTGGTTCCATAGCAACTTTGCATGAAATAGTTGTACTCATCTAATCCGCAATACTTGTCGATGTATTTAGTTAACGGCAGCTGCTGGAAATGCGTCGTATCATACTGCCATTGATGCGTGTGTTGCTTTGCCAAATTGTTACGAATATTAGAGGCCAGCTCCAACCATTTGCTTTGATCTATGTCGAGCTTTTTGCTTGTTGTCACTGTGTTTTTGGCATTTGGACGAAAGTAGTATCTTATCAAGAATCGCGCCTTTGTGAGGGTTTTATTTGCAGAAAAGTAGTTCTTGGCTGTTGGTAGCTTTTGATCAAGTAGGAGTGCGTTGTTTGGACGACTCCAGTAATCTTGAATGGCTGTGTATGCTTGATACCATGTTATGGATGTAGGTAAGGGTGGGATATGATAGATGGTTGCAAGAGACTCCTTTTTGTGTGCAAGTTGGGGTACTGAATAAATAATACATTTTGATACATAATCAACCGGGACGATATCTACTGGCCGCTGTCCTTGATCTGGTTCAATAACTGGGATCGATTGGCTGAATAGTGCTAACCACGCTGACATACCAGATATACCGCTTGTCTAACATAGGATTTAATAAGTATCAATTGTCCCGTCCTCTTTCTTACCCATCCAGGTACAGGCTCCATTGCACTGGGTCCAATGTAACATGATCTAAATATGCTCAAAGAATAAGGTACATTTGTCTTTCTTATAATTAAATGTTCCACGAGCGCCTTTGTAAACAAGTGTAGTGTAGAGTATTTTTGTAAGATTCGCTTCACGTAATTCGGCAGTTCTAATAATTATAATTTGCCCAAATTAGGATATGTGACATACTTCATTCAGCTTCAGTTTACCTTTTTCATCAGCGCCAAGAAGTGACTTCAATAATTCCTCTGGATCACCCAGCCCTGCAAGATCATATACCTGCTCCTTAATCAATGTATCTTCATTCTCAGTTGGAATACAAGTATGAATATGAATGGGTGAAAGATAAATGAAAGAACCTTTTATAGTATGTCAGTATCAAATCCACTATCCCTTTTTTTTCTCTTACTTATATTTGAGCATGCACTGAGGTAATCCATTAATCTTATTGTTCCCAACACATTTGTCTAACAATATTTTAAGAATAGAGAGAACAAAACACTTTGTATTGATATATACTTCTAAATTCCATTCCAAAGAACTTTCATACTCTGAAGTAGCTGCGCAGTGAATGACTATGTTTGTATCTTTCATCTGCATGCTTTCTTCCATAGATAACCCCAGTTGCGATAATGTTAAATCATAAGATATGGGTATCAATTTTTCTCGTCCAAGTAATTTTTTATCCATTAAACGTTTAAATGCCTATGAAATAAGGTTATTTTGGATAACTTAAGCTTTTTTTTCTTACACTTGTATTTATGATCTCGTCTAAAAGTCTTTGAGATGGACTACCTCCAGGAATTCTTTTAGGTCGAATGAGCACATAGACCTTGTCAATAACACCTCCTACTGTCTTTAACAAGTGCCATAATATAGCCTTTCCAACAAAGCCAGTTGCTCCTGTGATTAGTACTGTCTTGTTACGATAACAGTCAACCCAATCTTCACGGCTCATGTTTAATACAAATGGGTAAAAGAAAATGGTATGACAGGACCTAAGAAAGGCAAAATTGCAGAATTAAATTTCTCTTTTTCTTGTTACACATTCTACTCTTTCTTTAATAAAACGTTGTCAACTCTACCTTGTCATGGGTTACTCTATTGTGTATTGATCAGTATATAATACTCCCTCAATTCTGTTCAACAATGGCTTGAGTGCTCTTACTGCGTTGATACGTGGATTGAACAGGATAAAAATAGACAAGCCACCTCAGATGAATAAAGAATCAAAAAAAGGGAGAACACCTTTATAATATACTGCTCTTGTCATGATCAATTAATCTGTTTTATCTTTATGATGATGTATGTTCAAGTTCGTTCGTTGCTTACTAATTGTTGATCATTAGAAGTTTTGTACCCTTTAGTGCTAGATCAAAAATGAATACTATCCTAATGACCACACTCAAGCAAATATTAGAGACTTTTCACCGTTTTGGCCATTGCGTAGTATCAATCATACCATCCAAAGAAACCGATTAGGAAAAAAAAAACTGGTTCACCTTTCGACTGATATATCTGAATTAACAGACACGAGCAGAATAACTCAAACGCCAATTCCTGTAGTAAAGAGGAAGGATTCACTGTTTTTTATACAGCTTGAATAACCAACCACAAAATGAGCTTACGTTGCCTTGATGATGACAAACTTAGATTTACCAAGAATGCTGCTTACTCACAACCTTTCTGATACTGAAGAATTTCACTAAACTCTACCTATCTGATCTCCCATTTTTAACTTGAAGACGGTTCCTGATATCTTTTAAATTTTACCAAGCGCTTTTGTATGAATCACGGAATCTTTCATTTTGTCCTATAGAATATAAATTTTTATATCACGCCATTAGTCACAGAAGCATAAGCCTTGAGCAATACATTCACTCAACCCTATAATCGTACAGCATTTGCTCTTGTTTTACGTGATGTTATAAAATACAAAAATACCCTTTGACTAAACACTTTCAAGCACAACCTTTACAGTCTATGAATTAAAATTTTATTAAGAAAAAAAAAGCTAAACGTCTTGAAATTGCCTAAGGTAAAAATAGGCTGCTGCAAATTCAGAGCACTTGACATTTACATTCCAGTCAAGATACTCTAAGTAATGTACCTCCATTTGATTTCTATAAGATAAAACGCGATTTTAAAAAAAGAATATAAACCGTGTCTCTTTTTTTTTTCCTTACATTGTCTTGGTTGGTACGTCTGGAAACATTTGTGGATAATCCGAGTTGTAAATCGAGCAGTCTTCCCAGACTTTTGCGGCGGTCAAGATGGACAACATTAACAGTCGCTGCCAGTTACCATCAAAGAGGAATTGGCCAGATATCGACAACATTCGCTTGAGGTATATGAACGAAATGATAGCGTGTTCAGAGCTCAACTAAATGGTAACGTTAAAAAGATTATTCAGAATCAAAATAAAAACTTACACTAGCTCGTTCAAAAATATTAGCCATCTCCATAAAGAGATCTGTCCACTCTGTCAATGGCTCTGCTTCCCACATGTCATCTTCATAAGAAATTTCAGGCGACATAAACAGTAGATCGCATTCGAAATTTCCCTCGTAATGGTTCTTCTGGATCAGTTCATATAGAGCCAATGCAACGCTATATGTTTTTATTGTTATTATAAAAAGAGAAAATCACAGCCTGCGCCATACCTCTGCAGGGTAACTTGGCTCTTGTCCACGTCTTGCTGCTCCTCGTGAAAAGTCTTTTGCCACATCAAGTCATAGTCCTTGAAGGACGAGTAGGCGGATATCGACCTCTTGTAAAGCGCTCCATCGTCGATATCTACCGTCAGTTGCTTCACCTTCTTCCTCGGAATCTTGTGCTCCTGGCTGTGGCTGCCATCAATCTTCACATAAGGAACGGCATCTTGAAGCCTTATGTCCACTTCTGTTTGGCTATGTGGGACCCGAGTGTTGTTGCCAATGGTTGCATGGAAAGTAGGTGGATTCCAAATGGAGGAGGAGACATTGCGTTTGTCTGAAACCAGTCTTAAATGCATGCCATAGTATTCATTGCCATAATCATCACCATCACCATCACCATTAACAACACCAAAGCCACCACCAGCACCAAATTCGTCATCAAGATCTTCATCTTCAATATCCTTGCTGCTGAAGTACTCCTGATATTCTTCAGAACGCTTCCAGATGTCTTGCATCAACTGATCGACAGAGGAGCGCTTTTCAGGAGAGTACCCCTTAACGGTTTCACTGTCCAAATGATCGAAGCCACCATATGGACTGCCACAGCTACTGTCACTTTCACTGCCATCATCTGCCTTTGCCGGGTCGACATAATAGTCCATGTAGGAGAAATCTCCAGCAAGTTGACGAGCTTCGAACTCATCAAAGAAGGAGGTATTGTCATCATCAGCCCTATCGTCAATTGCTTCTCTCGAATCGTACAGGTTGCTTCCTTCCAGAGCCAAGCGACAAGGCGAAGGAAGAGGGTAAGGACCACCATTGGGCCAAAAGACAGACCAGCCGAACTCAGAAGGAGCATAGTAAGATCCATCATCGGTGATTTTTGGCTCCCAGGAATGGCGAAGGCCAACCCTATCAAATGCTTCCCGGACATTCTGCTTCTCCTCCTTCCACTCGCGAACAAAGCATCGAAGTTCTTGGAAAGTATTGAACTTTCTCCTTTGAACCATAGCCTTGACGTGGGGCGTAAGAGGTTGTTTGATATCATTCTACATTGAAATATAACTTGTAAATAAAACGATGATAATTTTCCGAATCAAACTTACAAAAACGAATTCTAAATATTCCGAGTCGCTGAGGTCAATGGGGCCGAAGATGGGGTCAGCACAGGAAAAGGATCTTTGAGGCGCCTTGCTTGATCTCTTGGCAAATGCATTCTTAATTTTTGAAAAGAAGGTTCGAACTTTTGCTTTCAATGCTTTTTTCTTGGGGAAGGGATCGATAGTAGCTTCAGATTCTGTAGAAGGCGAAGGTTCCTCGGAGGGTGAGTGAGTACGCTCTGCATTATCAGAGCAAGCCGGTTCAATATCAGAGCACTCTATAAATGTGCTGCTAGGATGCTTGCTGCTTTCATGGGAGCGAATATCAGATGAGCTCTTAACGGAAAGAGCTTCTGGACATGTCGAAGGAAGTTCATAAATTCCCGTACAAGCAGCCAGCTGCTCTTTGTTGGGTTGAATATTATTTGATACGACATCGGAGAATTCCTGAGGCTCGATTTTGTTTCCAGTTTTGAAAAAGCGCGAGTTCTTGCTGTTATCAAACGAAGTGCTGGAAACGTTCAAGGTATGCTTTATATTCCAGTATTGGATGAGAGCTTGAACATCCTTGACGGTACCTTCAGAAAGGCTTTCATGAAATACCTTGTTGATCTTCAGCTTTTCTTGAAGCTCCACAATGGTGGAGGATTTGAATAGAGGTGCATTCATCTTAACGGGAAGAGAGGACATTGGAAATTCAAAAAGAAATTAATAAAGAAGAAAGAATAATAAAAAAAGAAATTCTCCTTAAGTACGAAATATGAGGAATTTGTTGAAAAACGAACTTGTCAAGGCCAAATAGGCGTACAGAGGACCTTTTTTTTTGCTTTGCTTCTGTTGCCACTATTATTTTTGCTCAATTTACTGCAAGGATAAATTCTCCTAGATATGAGAGTCGGTATCATATTGGAAATTGACAACACCAACAAGGAATGAAGGAAGCCTCTGCATGGTTAAATCTTTCAAATGCTAGGGGGACTGTATGCTAAGCTTATAGAGCAAAGATTGATATAGATCTTGTTACATATTTATGTTGATTCATGTTCAATTACATACAAAATGGATGATGTATGCTTTGTATGTTAGTATCGTATTCTAGACAACAAGCTTTAACCGTCAACTTATCAATGCAGATTCAAAATGCCCTAGTAATCTTTTTGATGTCGTGTCTTCTAATGCTTGAATCAGTTTATGAGGTGCTTCATTTGAGCGCGTTTTGCTGTTTTCAGGATTAACATGTATCCCCATATATATACAAAGTATAAGTAAGAACTCTAGACGATACTCCGTGCGTACTACTCTAATGCAAATACTTTTTTTGGTGGCACATTTTAAAAGTCATGGGCTTTCGATTGACATGATACAAAATATTTTAACCTAATACTCTCTATCCCAAGGAAAATACCTCGTTTTTGTTTGATCCGGAATGGACATTCATCGTGGCCATTTAAAACAGTTGAGCAAGGGATATTGGTTTATATATTCTCCATCCAAGGCAGATCAGAAACGAAAACAACTGACGTCTAAAAAGCCCTTATGTATTGTAACTAACCGGCCAGTGTAGAGTTTATGGGAGCGCTGTTTAGAAGAAATGAGACTATCGGGTGAGTAGTATGGTCAAATGATCAGAAATAGCTTTAGATATTATGAGCTGGAAACAGTGAGTGGAATGGGCTTTAGCTGAGGGCTGGTTAGGGTGTCGAAGACTGATTTTTAGCAACAACACTGTAGCTGGTCAGGCCAACGACTGCATTGCTTGTCCCAGCTACCAAGCAAGAGGCGATCAAATCCCCGGTATATGGATACAGTCTATTTTTACGCGTTTTACTTTTTGTTTAAAATCGAGAACGCGCTACATAAATATTTGTTTATGATGGAAAACGTAGAGTGGAGATGTAATGCATACATATCCTGTAAGGTACGACCACTCAAAAATAAAGATGGTTAAAGCAGCTAATTTTATTTTTACTTGATAATCATGTAATCCAAGCTTATGCGGCCTGTTTAGCTTGCTGTTCCTTCATGTAGTTAAGGCAGCTACCGTGTTTAAACCATTCGATTTGGCTAATAAAAGCATTTACGTTAGATAGATTCATAAAAGAGTTAACAAGACTTACCCAGAGTTGAAAGTGTGATTCAATTTGATATCAGTGGTAGATCCATCTTTCTTGTGTACACGAAGAGTAAGAGGCTTGCCTTCCTGGAAATCGGTCAATCCAAGAATATCAACCTTATCTGTAGGATCAATCTTGTTGTAATCCGCAGGATTAGCAAAAGTAAGAGGAAGCATGCCTTGCTTCTTCAAGTTGGTTTCATGGATACGAGCAAATGATTTTGTAATGATGGCAGCACCATTCAAATAACGTGGCTCCAAGGCAGCATGCTCACGGGAACTTCCTTCACCATAGTTTTCATCACCAATGACAACCCATTTGATACCTCTCTTTTTATAATCACGAGCGACGTCAGGGACAGCACCATGCTCATGAGTAAAGACATTCTCAACGCAGTTCATCTTGTCATTAGCAGCGTTTACAGCGCCGATGAGCATGTTGTTGGAAATGTTGTCGAGGTGTCCACGGTACTTAAGCCATGGACCAGCCATTGAGATGTGATCAGTTGTGCATTTGCCTTTAACTTTGATCAAAATTGGAACTTCTTTAATATCTTGACCATTCCACTTCTCAAAAGGTTCCAAGAGCTGAAGACGGTTTGACTTAGGGTCGACCTTGACTTCTATTTTAGAGGAATCTGCAGGGGGAGCCTGATATGTGTTCTGTCCGGGATCGTAACCCTTGGGTGGTAATTCATTACCACTAGGGGGGTTCAATCGGAAAGGCTTTCCGTTTGCGTCGGTTAAGGCGTCTGTAAGAGGATTAAATGTCATGTCTCCCGCAATGGCTAGAGCAGTGACAATTTCAGGCGAGGCAACAAAAGCATGGGTTGCAGGATTAGCGTCGTTACGACCAGTGAAGTTTCGGTTATAAGAAGTGACAATGGAGTTCTTTTCACCCTTCTTGACGTCTTTACGGTCCCACTGGCCAATGCAAGGGCCACAAGCGTTAGCCAAGACTACACCGCCAACATCGGTGAGCGTATCCATGATGCCGTCGCGTTCGATAGTAGCTCTGATTTGTTCTGAACCAGGCGTGATGGTGAACTTGGACTTGGCCTTCAAGCCGTGATCAGTGGCTTGTTTAGCGATAGAAGCTGCACGGACCATGTCTTCATAGGAAGAGTTTGTGCATGAGCCAATCAGGCCAACCTTGAGTTCTTGTGGCCATTCATTTTCTTTCAACACGTCTTTGAATTTGGAGATAGGAGTAGCAAGATCAGGAGTAAAAGGGCCGTTCAGGTGAGGTTCGAGTTTATCCAAATCAATTTCGATCAGTTCGTCATACTGGGCATCTTTATCGGCTTTCAAATTATCAGAGAAGGATTCTGCGTATTTTGCAATTTCAGCACGGTTTGTTGCCCTGAGATAGTCACCCATACGCCTGTTGAAAGGGAAGAGGGAGGTAGTTGCACCGATTTCGGCGCCCATGTTACAGATAGTACCCATACCCGTACAAGAGATCGTATCCACTCCAGGGCCAAAGTATTCAACAATAGCACCTGTTCCTCCCTTGACAGTCAAGATACCCGCGACTTTCAAGATGACATCCTTGGGAGCAGTCCATCCTTGCATCTTACCATGCAATTTAACACCAATAACTTTGGGACATTTAAGCTCCCATGGTACACCTGACATGACGTCAACTGCATCAGCACCGCCTACACCTACGGCCACCATACCAAGGCCGCCAGCGTTAGGTGTATGTGAGTCGGTACCGATCATGAGACCACCGGGGAAAGCGTAATTTTCTAAAATGATCTGATGAATGATACCAGAGCCTGGCCTCCAAAAGCCTATGCCATATTTTGCAGTACAAGTTGCCAAAAAGTCATAGACCTCCTTGTTAATATCAATAGCACGAGCAAGATCCTTATCGCCACCCACTTGAGCTTCAATCAAGTGATCACAGTGGACTGTCGTTGGAACGGCCACTTTAGGTAAACCAGCAGACATGAATTGTAAAAGCGCCATTTGAGCCGTTGCATCTTGACAGGCAACACGGTCAGGTCTCAATCTCAAGTATGATTTACCACGTTCAATATCTTGACTCTCAGGATCATCAAGATGACCATAGACAATTTTCTCAGAAAGTGTTAACGGGCGATTTAATCTACACTTGTGTAAATTATGCTTATAACTGAAGCTTTTTTGCTTTTTAATTTACCTTCTTTTAACTACTTTCAGATTATCTTCAATGCGTTGATAGTTGATATATTTGTCATTTTCAAAATTGGACATGGCAACCTTTTGGGAAGCCCAAGTGTAAGATCGTGTCGACAAGGCTGACTGTAAACGAAAAAGGGCATGAGTTATTAAACTCCTCTTCCAATACTTAATATCTACCTTTATCGTCTTTCCTAAGAACGCTCTCTTGGCAAACATTTTGTGATTAGGAAGTCAATAAGAGAGTGGGGAGTTATGTAGACTAGAAAAAAAGAAAAAGAAAAAGAAAAAGGGAGAGAAAACTATCGAATTTTCCTCCATATTAAAGTTTTATGCAGAAGGGAAAAAACAAAGCGCGTATTTGAAATCCCGATGTATTATGGCTTATTGTTTGTTTAAAGATGTCCTAATGGTGACAATAAAAGACAAGTTTCAGTAAGTATATGTATATTGCTTCAAGCATTTAAAGGAATGTTAGTTTGTACGCGCGCACGTCTTATAAATCATAGACATTGTCTTTACCTTGAAAGCTTTTGCTTGAAAAGACCAAGGAGAAGGCCAAGCCTTCGTCCTGTAGCTGACTCGATTTTTGCAAGTGACTTGGGTTTTGTCATGACGAAATATGTATATAAACTCAAAGATCTTTGCAGAACTTACGCTATGATCTAGAACTTTCAGTAAAAAGGTAGCCAAGCTAATATAAAACTAAAAAATAGGTAAGAAAATTGACCAACCATAATTCAGTGCATTTAGTGAATACTCAAGACAGCAATCGCTTGGTCAGGGTACAAGTAATAGTTGGGCAATTGTAGGAGAGCTAAAGCGCCATTTTGCATGCCAGCAGGGATTCTGTTTAATCTCAGCATATCATTAATTTTCACAAATTGAGCATTATTTTTCTTTTTCACTGCGTTATGTCATTTAGACCACCACGTTCGTTACCTATTCTTACATTATTCCATAATGTCAAATCAGATAATTCTAGAGCAGCTCTAAGGCTACTGCAGAGTCGACAAAAGAATGCAGATGGAGAAGAAAAGTATCGTATCGATGTCATGGATGAATACAAACAACCCATAACAGACACACAATTAAGGCAAGTAGCAAGCTATTTGGAAAGCAAGACGCCATGGAAGGATATGCTGTTGCCTGAAGCAAGTCAAATCATTGATAATGCACAAGATGCGTTCAAAATAATCAAGGATAAACCAGAAGTGCTTCGATGTCCTATTGTAGTTGACTGGGAAAGAGGAAGAGCAGCAAGTGGAATCAAAGGATTAGAGGATATTGAAAAATTGATTAATGAAAGAAAATAGTGATGTTTTCTGAATGTTTATTTGTGTGTTTATGTTTGTATGTATAAAAATATGTACTTTACTATTTACAAAAAAGAAATTGTTATTGTTTTCTATTATTATTATTATTATTGTTGTTGTTGTTATTTAAGTAAGCGATGCTTCTTCTTTTTCTTTGTCTCGACCGAAGATTCAGATTCTTCCGAAGTAGAAGGTACATGATCCAGAACGATGATGTTACAAGATTCCTTTACTTCAGAGCTTGGTTCGACCAACAGGTGATGAGCATGAGACTTTTCAGGATGATCCATGGTGCAGGTTGGAATTGATTTAACCCAATCATCGTTTAATACATCTTCAAGTGAGCATCTTTTTTCAGGATCTGGATTCAGGATACGTTTCATAATAGGTCTTGACTCACGTGGAAGCATCTTGAATAATTTCTCGGCGCCTTCAGTAGAAGGAGTTACAAAATTTTTGTAAGATTGATCTTTATCAGGACGAGGTAGTCTCCAAGGAAATCTACGAATGGACATACAGATGAAAATGATACCACAGGACCATAAATCAGATAGACGAGCATCATACTCGGGTTCAGTAAATTGTTCAGGGGCAATGTAAGGATCGGAGCCACAGATACCTTTACTCTTGTGCACCTTGGTTTCAAATGGATACTTGTTGACAACAGCACAGCCAAAATCGATAATCTTGACAATGCCTCGTTCGTCCAAAACCATATTATCCAGCTTGAGGTCACGGTGAGCCAAGCCCATCTGTTGCATATATTGAACACCATTCAACAGCTGCTTCCAGCAACAAGCAATTTCTTCGCGGGACATTTTGCCGCTCATGACGATGTTGAATAGGTCATTTGGGGCAAACTCCATAATCTCATAAAAGTTTTGGCCTTCCTGTATGATATCCAGAGTTTCGATGACATTAGGATGATGTAATGTAGAGCCAATACAAAACTCGGCAGTGACCTTCTTGACATATTCTTTTTCTGGCTCATTCAGACCTCGTTTTCTGAACTGTTTTACGGCAAATGTTTTTCCATCTGTACTACGTCGAATCAACCGCACCGACCCACCGGCACCCTTTCCAACAAATCGACCTAAAAAAATTTAGCTAAGACTTTCATATTAATAATCATTATTTTACTACACTTACCCCACTTGCCATATTTGCCTTCTAGATCACGATTAAACTCGTTAGCAAATGATAGGTCACTGTTACTTGCAATCGAAGGCGACTTCTTCTTTTTTTTATCCCCTTTAAAGAATCTTTTCAAGTCGTGAAATATGGTATCCTTCTTTTCCAAATGATGAAAGTGGGTGTGGTGATATTCTTTATTATATTGAGGTCTTTTAAAGATGAATTGAGAAGGTGTGGCTGGCCTTGATGGTAATGACACTGTACTGTTGCTGCTATGATAGTAGTTATCTTTTTCATTATCATTTAGCTTCTTTTCTCGGGGCTTGTCATTGTCATCATCACTCTGATGAGGGGATAGAGAAGGAGGTGTATGTACAGCGGTGGTAGGTAATGAATGGGTATCAGAATCGTATAATGTTTGACTACTTCTTTTATTATGTGGAGATAACAGTGGTGTACCAGGCATAGAAACATCGGGTGTAATGTTATGGAATTGATGGACAGCATGCTTATTCTGAAATATCTTGGCTGGTGAATTAAAGTCGATTTGCTGTAGTTTATCTGTTAATTGATTTACGTCGACCATGGTTGTTGTAGAATGCATATTAAATAATAAAGTACAATGAAATAAGATGAAAGGAAAAAGAAAGGACAAAAAATTTTTTAAATTTGATTTATTTTTCTATTTATATGTCCAGACCTTGGAAGGTGTGTATGTACGTGTGTGCGCGCTCTACGGCAAAACGTCCATGTATTACTATATTTAGTATATGAATCATAAAAGTAGTGCCGATAATTGATAGACCGCTTATTTGTAATTGATAAAACTATAGATAAACCCAAATATTCTTAGCAACAGCTGAGGGTTTATTTCCGTGGAAACGGATATACAATATCATTGGTCAATTTATATCCTAGACATCATATTATCAAAAATTTATATAAATATATTTTTATAGGTTCATCTATAGATTTGCTGCGGATGCATTCGGATAATCAAGGAAAATGACATTAAATCCGAACTGGAAAAACATGTCTCCGAAAGGACCGAGTGTTAGCCCGCTTAAATGATTTAGTCTTTGTTATCAACTCCCTCTCTCTTTTTTTCTTTATTATTAATCTTTTGTAACAAAACTAATGTTATCAAGGCAACAAAACAACACATATAACAAACTCCGTATTACACACATGAGAGTAGCATAGTATTTTGTTATCTTTTATGTATCCCCCTTTTTTTCATTTTCTGTCTTCTTTTATCCGTATATCCAACTCCTTGCATCTCTGCTGTAAAGTTGATTTCACGTGGCATGAAAGCATGGTAAATGTATATTAATCTGGGGAATAATGCAGCTCTATGTCCTATACATCTGAGTTGTAAGAAAAAATTCTGCTGCATATTCTAAAAAGTATATTGTTATTGTTATGGTCATAACCTCTCTGTAAGTATGTTTTTACTCTTTTGATTATATGTTTACGTATACATTTATCTGATTTTGTCGATCATCATTGTGTAACCGTGCATGTATTGAAGTAAGAACTGAGTCTCCTTTTTGTGTTGAAATTGATGAAACGTACCAGATGCATAAATAAAACTGCCTACGTATGCAGTATTAATAATCATATCGCTCATTTTAAATTTCAGTTCCCCAAAAGAGAACCCCGCACCTCATGTGCAAGAGTCATACAAGTTTTTTTTCAACATTCAAACACGATGAGGGCTACTTGATTTTCTTTATCCAACTAGAATTATCCCCCTTACGTTATATCATATATAGTTAAGGATACTCGCCACAGCTTTAAGCTATTGGTAACAACAACTGAATGCGTCATGAATGAGCTATCAAAAGCCATGCCTTCAGTTTTACCGAAGACTGTGTTGTCATGAATACCAAACATCTTGCAATGCTTTCATATTACAGCCTAAGATCAGCTATGACATGATCGACAGCAATAGGGCATGAACCGGTTACATACAAGCACATAGGTACAAGAAGTAATTTATCTCCGGTTGGCCCCCCTTCCTTTGAGAAATACATTTTCATCAGCCACGCGTGTACATCAGCCTCCTCTAAAGGTGCACAGATGACGTGTATAGCAACTACTGTTTATTAGCCTTATTCTCGTGTTAATTATAAAGATATACACTTAGGCATGTTTGCGTCTGATAGTAAAGAAGATGGATAAATGGATAGTTAGGCAATCGCATTACTGATGCATAAATGAGGATGTTGCAGTTATATCTTCTGCAGGAGACGTTCAACACTGAAGATAAGCGTGGCTTGTAGGTAACAGTCTTCATATGCTGGCAAAAATAGGGGGTTTTTTGAAGAAGAAAAAATGATACCATAAGCATTAGTGCTTTTTTTTGATTTTCATAAAGCACTGTAAGGTATTCGTTAGCATATCACTATTAATTATCAAGCAAGTTTAAAAAGCGTATTGCTAGGTCGAGGGACGAATCAACAATCCTAAAAAGCTGTAATATATGCATAAACAGCACGTAGTGCATTGTTGTTACTGAAGTCTGTTGTTCCTTTCAGTTCTTTTTTATGCTTGCAGTAGAGCGTCTTGGTTATCAAGGGCTGAAAGCTGCCCCTACTTTCCGCTGTTATCTCCGAGCTCAGATGGATCTTTAGCATAAATTTCGTCAGCATAGTCGGTAAAGAATTTCACAAGCTGTTTTGATTGAAGTAAAGTAACAATTAGCTTTTAAACAAAGACTATAGGTATGCTCGCTCCTCGTTATTCACACATTGATATCTACGTGATATCTTAAAGCGACAAGGGCATATTAACAGTTATTGAGCTCATTCAAGCCATGCAAAAGAAGTAAATTTATGCAAAGTGCTATGTGCAGATCATATGAGTAATCTGACATTCAACGCTTAAATGAGCCGATTTTCATGGTATTTTGTATTTAGCAATACACAAAAAAGAACATACTTTTCCGTTACGTCAAGTAGAAAAATAAGGTTATGAACTAGCAGAAATGATACAAGGCCAGAGTATATATATATATATATATATATATATACATATATTAGTGTAGTTTAACAAGTTATGCTGCGTTAAAATATACCCACAATAGACAACGGTCTTTTTTTTTTTGCCAATACCAGAACTTGTTGCTTCTATTTTATTAATGTTAGCTTATTCATATTGTAGTGATGGAGTGTTATTTATAGTAATCATCACGGAGGAAATTTTCTGCTTCTTCTCATTTTAAATTTGCATTAACTCATTTTACCATACATAATGTCATGTAGTCTCATATTGGCTGAATATGAAATTAAACTCTTGTTTTCTGCAAGAGAAGCTACTTCTTCGGTAACTCCTTACTCCTTCCCCCTATATTTTTTGCATAAAGTAGATTTTGTAACTGTGTACTGACACATATAATAAAGTATCTCACAAAGGAAGGGAAGCCTTCTTGGAGGATGTTTCTACAGCTGCATAAATTTAATAAAGTTAAAGAAACGCTCATATCTTTACCCAATAATAGCCACCATTCACACGCTATCACAGAATATTAAACAAATAGTAACCCTTGTAGCTTCAGGACTGGCTATAAATGAGAGGCGTATTATTTGATGTTTCTTTTATTTTCATAGTTTAAGAAATATCTATAATGCCCAAGAAACACAATACTAACAAAGACGTGAACCAAAATGTCGACAAGAATCGTCCCAAGTCTAAAACCGAAAAGAAAGAAGAACAAAAGAAGCGTAAACAAAAGGTAAAATCAAACCACCTTAATCTTTACAAGGACTTTATTGAACCTTTGGCTTTATATTAGAAAAATGAAAGGGCAGAAATGGCCAAGAAAGGCTTTTCTTAAAGTTGGACCTATTTATGTTTTTGAACAAGTTACTTGTTGTCAATTTACTTTTCTATTACTCAATAAATGCAACGAATATTTTTCAACAGCTACATCTTGTTGGGATAAATGCTGCTTTAACTTCTTTTATGCATAAGTTATACTGTAAATTTTACAAACATGCCAAGTTAGTTTCTGAAAATAGTGCGCTCATTACGCAGTGTAGAATCAATGAACGCCCAAATTCTCAAATGAAAATTCTTTTCCGCTTATTACAACTCACGCGTAAAAATGATGCGTTCTTTTTGAAAGCACCAAATAATACCTGTTTAAAGAGTATGCTAGTGAAAACAAGTAGTATGTATTGAAACCTATATCATACGTTTTGCCTAAAATATTTTTTATTTTTAGTTCGTCAGTAAAATGACAAACCTTGTTGACTATACGCGTTATATTGGATTCCTCTCTGGCCTTGTTTCTTAATAAGAGTATATCTATGTTTTCTATAACTATTGATCAACATCTAGGCACAGGTGTGTTATATATACTTAAAAAGAAAAAGTAAAGGTCGCGACACGATGAAAATAGGAAGATTATCTTTCTATAAAGTAGATGCAAGTATTAAACAATGCTTGAAAAAGCACAACTGCAATTCATTATAGAAGTACAACAAAGAAAAAGGGAGATATATAAAAACCAAGACTATACGAGCCTATGTAAGATTTCAACTTACGATTAGAGGACGTGGTCAAAAGTATCATCATACTCAGACCCATTTTCACTGTCTGTTAGAAGAGCTTTTAATGTGATCATTAACATGTAAGCTTGGGCTTTTTATTATTATTACATGATCCCAGATATATTTGCTTACTATTGAAATTAAATCTAATAGACAAGAATTAGAGTATACAATTAAATTAGCAAGATAGATCATTAGTTTCACAAAGGGTTCTAGTCTCACACGTGGCACAAAGAATAATTATAAGTGTCTGTAGTATGTAATATCTTACGTTTTTTTTTATTATTATTATTTTCTTTATGTCAGAACATAAGTCTTGTATAAACATTGAGGAGAATGAAAAAAGCTCTCGTAGCGGATCGTCCATATCAACTCCAATAGTATCCAGAATACCCAACCTTCAATTCTTTCCATCCAAAAGCACAGTATTAGCAAAATCTTCACCTCTTTCGTTGGTGGATAAAGATCTCTCAAAGACCACAGACTCTCATTTAGCCAAAACGCGGAAAATAACACCAGAGTTAGGTATACTTAGAGCAAGATCTTTGTCGATAGGAAGTACAATATCTGCAAGCCATGATCATAGCCGGAAAAGTAGTATTGCCGAAAAAGGCGAAGGAACAAAAGATGCTGTAGTTACAGAAGAATACGAATTCTTCAAAAGACAAGGGGACGCACAAATATCAATAAAAGATATTAAGCAACAAGGACTCAAGGCACTTTTACGTTCCAGTGTGCCACTAGGATATTTCCTTTATTATCTCATGACCGAGTATTGCAGTGAAAATTTGGTATTTGTACTTATTGTCCTTTTATTCTGCGTTGTTCTCATTGTATTCTATGAACTTGTGGGAATAGTTCTTTTATTTAGCAGTTGACAATTATCAACGATACGAGTTCTCAAATCAAGCAGAACGAAGGCGAATGGCTAATAAAATTGCAAAGACATACCTAGAAAGCACGTCAGAAGTAGAAGCAAATTTGGAGGATCGAATACACAAGACTGTGAAAAAAGCACTAGAGCAGCAACAGAAAATACCTAGTGCATCTTCTGGAAATGAGTTTGATGCTGCGAAAAGGCATGTTTTTACATTACTCAACAGCAGTTATCACCGATTCAGGATAAGTCCAATTTGGTCTATTATGGAATCCAAATGCAGTAAGGTTCATTCAATTATCAATATAAGCACCTAATAGTTTGTTTAGGTGAACTTGATTCATATAGCGTAGAACGTTCCCAAACTCTCGTTGTCAGCTTGTTATTATCTTATATCAAACGTAATCAAGGCGGATACTACGAAGCAATATTGAAGCTGGTTCATTCGTTTTGTGTCGTGTATCTTCCCACTGGTTATCGATTATACAACAAATCATATCAGTGTCTGGAACATACTAGCAAGGCTTCAAAGAAAAATGCCGAGTCTGATAAAAAACACAACAGGTTTACTAGTAAGCTTGACTTACTGGGCAAAAAGTTGTCCATAAAATAAATGTATCTGGCCTAATCATTATCAGTTAAAGTAACCGATACTTAATTTCTAAGGTACATTTCAATGATCTCCCTTCCGTCCCTAATTTTGAAAAGCATTTTTACCTTTTTTTTTTTTTTTATTATGTGCTATTTTTCTTTGTTGCCTATGGCTACATACAAGCGTATACCTTTTGTACTGAGCACATTTGTATTTTATCTGATAAAGATGCTTTAATGAGCCATCAGAAAAAGAAAGTTGACAACACTTTTATTGCCAAGCTTGCTGCCCATGAGCTTGATTATACATGATCAAGCGCTTTACGTTTATATCCTTTACATTCATCTCTTATGTAAGCTTAAAGGAACACGCAGTGTAGCTGCAAAAGCTGACCTTTGTTTCCATAAAAGGAATTTGCTCGTCATACATGCACGAGACATCAAGGTCGCCATAAAAAAGCATTAAAGGCGTGCTCTTTTTTTTTTCCCTTTTTCTTCAAGAAAATCCAAACATCTCATAATGAATAATACATATCATTATTATCCACCATTCCAAAGCCAAGTGTTTATCAACCCATTTGATCCCAGCTACTGCAGTGGAGATCAGCCATATTATGATCAGTCCAATCCCAATCTTTCAACTATGCACAGATCAAGGTGCAATAGACGTAGCAACTACAATCACTATTATGAATACGATGAGTTGTGCCCTGATAACGAGTATTATTATGATTACCCTCCAAATAATTGGTCAATACACGACACATCTTACTACAGCCATGGTCCTGGATACAGACAGCTACGAAGAGCTAGATCATCGTTACCTGACATTCAAGCGGAAAGGCACGGACCATATCATGTGAATCCATCTATGCCTAATACAGATATCCATGCTTGGATGCCTTCCCATAGCAGTCATGGCGCACCCATGATGGACCCCATGACTCAACAGTTATTTCTAGGCACTCTTCCCTGTACAACTTCTTGGCCGCTAATTCCACCCAATCCATTTGATATTTCACCTCTTGTCTTACCTCCTTTTTTTCCCATAATTCAATCTTATTCTTCAACAATGGGCCAGGCTTCTACCCTCTCAAGTCCAAATATGGCGTCATTTCAGCCACCAGGAGCTCTTATCAGTCCAGATGTATCTAGTAATGCTATCAGCAGCGAAACCATGGCCTCCAATGCATCATCAGCAGAAGCACAGTCGTCAGTAGAAACTGTCAAAGAAGATGATGGTATTACTAATAAGAGCGCTTCCGAATCTGAGAGTAGTACAACAGCCCATAATCAACTAGGAGACCCTCTGGTATCACAATCTAGAACAAGATCACAGGAACGAAGACGGAGCTCGATAATGGAAAGCATTCTGTCATCCTTATTCTTGGCTCATCCGACAAAGATACAGCACCCTAAAATAGAAAATACTTCTTCTTTTATATCTCTTGACGATGCATTACTGCAGGCATTTAAAGAGAGACAAGAAACCTATCCTGTCCCATTAGGACAACAGAGGAGTGCTTCAGCGGATGCAGGTAAAAGTAAGCCAATCTCGCAATTGCAGCTAGACCTATCAAGAAAGACTTCTCAGCAGCTTTCACGCAAGGCGTATGAGTTGCAAAAACGGAAGTATGTGTGGTGCTATAAACCTACTAAGGACGAATCGGAAACATCAGACACAGAAAAAGATATCTTTTGGACTGCCTTTGATGTCAAAAACCAAAAAATTCTCGATAACAAGTATGCCGCAGAAAACTACAAGAGGACCATTAAATCACAGCAAAAAAATGATAAAGGCAATGATGCCAAGGATTTAGTGGAACGTATTAAAGATTTGCCTCCTGATGCCTTTGTTGTTCTTAATGCTCAATCAAAGATTACGGGACCCATGGTTGTGGCTCCGTATGATGGGATTGCTTGGTACACAGATAATTCCAATAATAACCTAGTTCATAGATTACTTCAAGTAGCCACGATCGCTTTGAATGAAAATAACAAGTTTGTAATATCGAATGATTTGATGTCATCTGATGTAAGTGATAAGAAATCGGCAAGCAATAGTGGACTGCGACGATCAAAATCTCTCAATGTGTTTACATCAAAGTTAATCAGTGCTATTGCTGGTTACTAAGCATTTGTAAATAAAAACACATTTTTATCATCGATATGAGCCTTTGTTAGCAAATGAGATATATTTATTGCTCAAACCGTATCCACTCAATGTCATTCGTATTGTTCAGCCAATTATCTAATGATTCAACATCTAGTGGCACATCCCAAAAGAGATTACTTGGATCATTTCTAAACATGTTGTTGGATGTATGGATGTCGTTCATAAGCTGTTGTTGGTTTATAGTCATATCATAATTATCCAAGCCAGGCGTAATAGTGTTTTGTAAAAACGCATTCAGTGATGCAGTATCCATCGCTGTATTAAAGCCAAATTGTGATAAACTGAATGCCTCTTCACTTTTGTTATGCAGTATATCGTTAGAGTGATCTAATTTCAAATATTAGTTATTCAAGGGCTGTATAAAGTAACAGAGACCATACTTGGATTCATTGCAGTGATAAAAGGTGAGAGCGTTGGAAACAAAAGCGGCCCTGTATTCATAGGCGCCGCGCCAGAGTGTTCTATACTACCTTGCTGCTGCTGGGTGTTGTCTGCTTGTGATGCATATCCCATATTGGCATTAAGCTTGGGATATTCACTCTTGCTCTTTTCATATTCTTCTAAATGATTTATTAACACGGTGTAAAACCTGTTTGTATGATGCGCTCCAAACGACATTGGTTCTATCATTTGCGATAGAGCCATGCCTTGTTTCAGCTCTTCCTTTGCCGTTACTGAAATTTCAGGGTTCGGATTCTTTGCATTAATAATTAGGATCAGGCCAAAATGTCGAAGAGAATAAGTGACGGCAGCGTACGGACACATTAGAAACTCTTTAATGCCCATTCCTTTTGCTATGCGCATACCGCCTTTAGCCGCATTCGTACAAATCTGTTGTGATGTAGTGGATGATTTAGAGGCTGTCTTTTTAAGAAAGGGTTGATGAAGTAAAATGAGTGTACTAAAATAAAGTAACAATATGGAAGCTATAGGTAAAATGTGAATACATTACAATATATACGATGATGATAGAGAATTACCAACAGCTGGTGCAAAGTATCCCTTTTGGTGATTGAAGTCTGGTATTTTACTATTTCTTACAGTCCTTGAAAACGAATATCGCCACTCTGTGAGCTCATGGTCTAGAGTGGCTACTATATTATCGCTTCCATGTTCGTAGCTATATTGTCGCGCTCTAGGTGAATGTAGACTCAAGAGGATCCGGCTGTTAATTTGTGATAACTTTACAAGTGACAAAAAGAGTTCGTATATTGGCGCTCGCTTTCCTACAGAAACTGTAATTTTAAAAGGCGTGCTTAGTGAAGGAAAGCGAGGAAAAGGCTGCTTGCTTAGTATTTTGTCTTTGTCTATCTCGTATGCATCCATTACTTCTTCCCAATCTGCTGTAACATCTGGATACCCTACAGTAATATCCTGACCCCAAATCAGCTATACACTGTATATTATTTGATACAATCATGTACCTCATCTCTAAGATTAACACCTCTGCCAAGCATGGCTGTTTGGAACACATCTGTGATGTAAAGTGTCCACCACACTCTTTTTCTAGTCTCCTTTTCTCGGTCGGGAATATCCCAATGATCACAGCTTTTGTGGAGGCCTAAAAGATGAGCCTATGTATGCATCATGTTAGTGTGTTTAAAGAATGTATACTCTAGATATTACAAGGCGAATAGCCTATGCACAAGCAAGTTAACATCAATGTCTATATCCACCTAGATATACTTACAAAGCCCCCCATTTGCCATGAATCAGATGACTTGATGTTGCGATCTGGACGGGTATTTAATATGAGCAGAATTGTTTGAATTTTTGAAAGCGTTGGTGTTGTCGACCAGTTCAGTAGCAGATGTTCTGCTCGATCAAAAAAGCTGTTTGACCATCCAATAGACACATCCAACATCACATCCGAAGGCAGCTCTCTTTGTCCTTCATAACCTGTTCTTTGGTGTTCTACAAATCGAGCGGCTGCACCAAACATGGCATTCAGCAGATCACCAGAAGGGAACGCATCCATTCTACCACGATATTGATCAATAAATTCAGTCTTATCAACGACTGGTAGGATGGGATGTACGTTTGCAAAGTATCTATCGTATTGCCGTAAGAAACTTTGGGCTAATTGTGGGTTACTTTTTTACTTTACATCTTTAACAGTCGAGCCGCTGTGTGCTTGTCAAGGCCCGTTACGGCATAAATGTATTGATGTATGTCTTCGCCTTGGGCATCCATTCCTTTTGGCCATCGAATTTCTGGAATGAGGCGACTGTATTGCTGCACGTTTGCTTCCTTTCTATCAGCAACCAGTACTGTATCCTCTCCAAACCTTTTTATAGTGTATCCTTCCCATTTCATTTCACGTGACAAGTCAAGCCTATTCCCAAGGAACTGGAAGGTGGAAAGATCGCCTAAGTATTGAATAGTATCATACTTAACACCCGGAAGCCATTGCTTGGGATTCAATATGCCGTACTCCTCAAATAGGTTTGATAATGTTGTTTTATTGCTAGTAGTAGTAGTCGTAGTAGTAATAGGGATGGAAGTGGTTGATCGATCGCTTTCTTCTACTCGCGGTTTTCGACGGACAATGCTCTTGTTCTTCTCGAGTTCATATATTATATCTGGAGACTTTCTTGTTTCCGATGCTTTGGCCTCTTGGATTAACCTTTCCATGCGGCCGATGCGTTTTTCCAAATCCTTTGCATATCTATCACAGTCAAACTTTCATCAGTTTTCTCCTCTCCTTTGGTTTGTTTCTGCTTTGTCCTACCCTTTTTGGGGCCCTCTTTTCTTATTACTTTAAAAATCTATTAGCAACGGTCTTTTTCTTAAGTAAAGCTCAGCTGAATTGTTGATTACTATTACATTTTAGTGAATTCACACTTTTCATTGTTTGCAATGCAATTAAAACATTCTGTTGTTTCTTCGCTAAGCACACATTTGGCTTTTCTCTTTTTGCAAAAGTCACTTTAAAAGAAAAAATGATCAGACGAAGTGGACCGGTTAAGAGATTCATGAAGTGAATTTACCAGGCGGCTGTCACTCTAATCCTTTGTTTATTTGATTCTTCACTGATTGTACTTTTGTTCATTGATAAAGAAAAAGAAAAAGTGAATTTAAAAGGCAGTCAATCATAAACGAGACCAGATCCAACCAGAAAACCAGGATTGATTTACCTTTGAAGGGTCTACTAGTCTTGGAACATTCACATCTACTTCTTCTGCAGCATGTACTGGTCCAACATTGGCTGGACATGATTCTGAATTGCTGCTTGGGTCATCCAACTCAATAACAACAATAGTAATGTCATCACGATAGCTTCTTGATGGCTTTCTTGTCAATCGCTTGGATAACTCAAGTTGTTCATCCTCAACAGGCTCTTTTACCCGTAAATTTTTATAGACAGCATCGTAGAGCAATGCCTCTCGGATAAGATATGTTGCAGGATTAGGTTCTCCATTAGACTTCCATGTACTCATAATCTCTGCTGCCTTCTGGTCTCCTCGACTACTGCGGACGTCATCCCAAGAGAGCTCGTCCCATAAGCCGTCAGTGCCAAGGATGATAAATTTATCTCCCTTTTGTAACTGGTGTCGAGAAGTCAAAGGCTTTGATTCCAAGTAAGGCGGTGTGCGATAATGAGCTACGATGCGATGGTGATACCGAGCAAAGGTTTTATAGCTATCGTATGGAATGTAGGGAAGTACTTTCATTTGGTACTCTACTGGTACCTTGTACATAATGTCGCCAAATGCTGTTGATTGTGAGCATTAAAGAAATATGATAATGGTTTGCCTACTTACATCCACCAACAGCAATCAGCCCAAAGATACGGTTTCTCATGATTAAGACGTCTGATTCTTCAGGAGGATGCTGCTTCATCATGTGTGCTCTCCATGATGGATTAGCCGGCGACTCTTCTTCAACCAAACGTCTTCCTTTCCAATTGCCTTGTTCATCCTGGCTGACAACTATTGTTGTCTATCAGCAATATGAAAAGTAATGGGCCCTTTTTGCTACTTACTTACTACACGCGAGTCGCCCGTGTTTGCTGAATAGACGATACCATCTTTGACATATACCGTCAATGCACATGATCCATTAATCGCTTCATCAATAATGGCTTGAGTTGCCTTCTGGTCTGGCTGACGAGCAATAGCAGCACGGATATCTTTTTCGGTGGTTCTTTTTAAGTTTTTAGGGAAAATGTCATAAAATCGCTGCTGTATATCTTGATCGAGGTCAGAGAAAGCCTTTGAGATAGCTTCCTCCTTTTCTTGCTCCGAGAGTGGTGTATTTGGATCCTTATTCAGTTCTCGTGCGATATAGATGGGTAACTGTTTTTTTATCAACCTTGAGCAGTGAGGGCCAATATGACCTAATTTAACATTAAACCCTGTGTTTGAAAATATGACGTATATTTACCATCGTATACACCAGCAATCAAGCCTCGTTGAAAAGTGTTGATGCTGTAATTGTCTTCAACAGGATCATTTGAGGGCAGCTGATTTGTATAAACAGCCTTGACACGGTCAATCTCGAGTTTACTAACAAACTGCCCTGATCTTATTCGGTTGTCAATCTCCTCTCTTGACAACAACTGAAATGGCCGCCAATCGTAGTGTTTAGGTTCAGCTTTCGTTTGAATGGGCTCTGAAGCTTGTTTGTTTGTTTTAGTAAGAAAGTAGTAACCTCCAGAACCAGCAGCGCCAAGCCCGGCTGCTGCTGTCAGTGCTACACGTAGAGGAATGGGCATTACAGTTTTTTAAGCTAAAGTGAGACGTTTCAAAAAAATAAGTTCGACACTTTATAAAATAAATGAGACGTGAATGAAAAAAATAAAAATATAAAAATAGACAATTCTATTTTTTGTAGACGAAACGAATTATTGTTCAAAGACTTATCTGTATCATAGATTAATATAGCGGTAACTTCAATGGATTGGTTATTTTCTTGGTTGGTCTACTACTAGCTGATGAGGTCGCCTTTCTTTTGAAGCCAGTAGAAGGAGGTGCGTTGAGTTTGCAAAAGCGCTCTGGTCTTTTTCCGTTTTTACGCAGCCCAAAAAGGATGTGCCTGAAATTTAAAGTGGCCACTATATCTCGGTTCCAAAGGTGATGACGAGAAATTGTACCAGTCATGGCCTCCAAACATTGTTAGTTTTTGCACCTAAGTAATAAACATAAGAGTTGGGTTTATAAACACAGAAGCGAATCACCTTAAAAGGCCATGACATGTTACAGTTGGTTGCTTTTCTCTCTGGAAAAGCCTTGAATTTTGAACTTTTCAAGTTCATCGCTCAGACATGAAGGACACAAGCTAGATATTTTACACTCATCAAGAAGGCATACCTTGGATCCTTGTTTAGCTAGTATCCTTCTCATTCCAACGCCTCTAATGGGCTCGTGAAACTTGACATTTCCGTCAGACCAGTTGCCAATTATCAGGGTACCATTATCACCGAGCTTTGTTATCGGATTCCTAGCCAGTTGTTTATCTGCTTGTTGTCCATTTATAAAGCTGGAAAGCTTCATTTTTTGAAACGGCAACAAGTTTGTTTCTACAGCAGAAATATATTCATTTGCGTAATACTTACTCAAGACTGGTGTTACTGTTGCTCTTTCCTGAAGGTACTTGGCAAACTTGTCTCCATTAACTGTTGAAGATTTGTACTTTGACAATGATACTTCGGCAGCTCTGACATCATCAAGCTTCAAGCTCTCCTCGAACTTCTTAAATTTTCTTGACTTTGTTTCAATTGCTCTTTGATTGCTTGTGTATCTGTATGTCTTCTTGCTTTCTATGATGCTTTCTTCATGCATGCAATATAGCATGTCGCGCCGACCGGGATCTATCAACACACACTTGCCGGCGCCAGCCAATAGCTCTTCTTTTTCCAACTTTTCTACATATTTGAAATCTTCTTCATCCACTGCTTTCGTTCTTCTACCAGCACCACTACCGCCTTTCTTCGTATCATCATTTTGTTTCAACACAGACACACCAATACCCTCAGTGAATAGCATGCCCCTAAGCTTCGTTGTTTTTCTTTCATTCTGTGGCTTCATTGCCTTTGCTGCGACATTGAGAACAGGAGCCCGTACTATTTCTTTGCCCAAATGGCTGGTAACAGGGTTTTTCAAAATTTGCGTGTTTAAGATAACCAGTAGTGGAGCTTTTAACTGTTATAATCTTTAAAGGTGGTTTCATGAAGAAAAAGAAAAAGATAAGTTGACAACTCTACATAGTCGTCAAATTATACTTAAATACGTACGGCATAGAATGCTAAATAGTACAAATGCCCAGCTGATTAATTACAAAAAAGATGATGAGTTGAGATAACTTGTAGATTTTCAAAGACAAAAGACAGGGATAAACAAGTATTTGTGAATTTAGATATTTGAAAGACAATGAAAAGGAAGGCTCTGCTTATACTTTTGGTGTCTACTTACTGCTTATATACCACTTTATATTCCTTATTAATTGGGCGTAGGCTCTACTTTTACCTTTTATGGAAATTATGATCTTCATTCTATAATAACAGTCTACAAGTTTTTGGCATGTGTCTACAAAAAATAGAATTGTCTATTTTTTTTTCATTCACTTGTCTCAAATTTTTTTTAGCGGACGCCTCATTTATTTTATAGTGTCTAGCTTATTTTTTTGAATCGTCTCATTTTAGCTTAAGAATGGGCAATATGAAAAGAAATAATACTTCAAATTTAGACGATGTTAGTTTTCTTCTACACGAATCAAAATTTAAATTCAGACGCTTTGCTTGCCTGTTTTGTACAAGATGAATAGGAAATTAACTTTAGACAAGTCAGCAGTGATATTAAAGGCTCAATTAGTATAAACACAATATTTTACTGACAAGATCCAATTGAGCACAAAAATAAAGTAAATAAATGTCATTCTGAATTAATTCAATCCGTTAGAAAGTTAATGATAGGGATCAAGGGTAAAAATGTAAAAAAGCATTAATCAATGGAAAATGTTGTTAAGTCTGGCAGATGAATATTGACAACAGAAGTATATATTTGCGCCCCCTTTTTCAACAGCACAATTCGCAATCTTTTTTCCTTAAACTAATATGTTTAAACAAGAAGAAGAAGAAGAAAAAAACGCAAGAAGAAAAAAAAATATAAGCATCCTCCTAAAGTAAACCAAAAGTAAGTGCTTCGCATAGCATGGAAAATAATCATTATTATTCACTGTTTATTATAGAAAGGGCTTGGTAGAGTTAAAGACGCGTAGAGCCGATGCCACTGGATTGCTTTACCAGCAGTTAAAGAGAAGACAGAAATATGGTGAACTGTTGCTTGCAACGATGGATAAATTTAGTACGTCCAAGGTAATAGATACAGTTACCATTTATGTCATACACTTACATTTTTTGTAAATATAGGTATGCCATTCATGTCGAGATATGGCTCTTATTACAGCTATGATCCACCTCCACAGTGTTCTCACTTGCAAAAGTTGCGGAATAATGTGGCAGCGTGATCTAAATGCTTACAAAAACATTTTTAAAATCTTCACATTATTACTGAATGCAGTCGCCCTTCAATTTTCTTGCGAAGCCAATAATGTAGAAGCCCTTCTTCTTTTTTTCATATTGCCATATCGAACATGGTCTCTCTTTCACAAAATATTTAGATATCTATAGATAAGATGTCCAGAGATCACTGTTGTTTAGAACTAACATCGTCTGAATTTGAAGTATGTGCACTGGAAGGATTAAAGTCACATGAGTAGCCGTTGTCCTATTGAACTATTATGTGCCTTTTACCTTTCCCACTGTCAAATGTTATCAATCCATAATGGATAGTGATTACTCCATAGTAAGCGTTTAAATAATGTAACATTCTTATTTACCTTACTCACTTTTTACTGCAGCATTCCTTTTCTTATTGATGAATACGAATATTTATCTTAATAACTGAATAATTGCGATTCTCCATATAAGTTTTATTCTTCAAGTGAATATTCCTTGCTGCATTACTATCTATTAAGAAAAGGTTGTATCAAATTTATTTCCGAAAATGATGGTAAAGAGCTTTTTTGACAAACAAACCAAAAGATACGTTGTGATGAATTTGGAAGGTTAATGTCGATGAGGTACTCATAGAAACATCATGTGACACACTATGAAGCATTCTTTGAACGCACAATAAAATTGATTGTTGAATGCAGTTCCACTTTGAGTTGCACATTTCTTCCAAAAAAAAAAGAGCAGCTCATAGTATCCAGGATTACTTTCACCTCTCTATGTAATTTACTGAAACTATCGGAAGAAGCTGACTATGTTATGTTGAAAGATCCTTTTGGTATTGTTGCTTTGAATGGTTCGACTATTGCGGACCATTTTTGTTGAGCTCTGCAATAAGGTTTCAAAGATGGATAGGGTTGTGTTGGATCGTTTTGTAACACCTGGCAAGCTTCAAGAAGACAACCGCAAGTATATTCTTGTAAACAACGAAATACTTGCCTTTAGTCCAAACTGAAAGCTAACGTTTAAGGGTGTGCTTAAAGTACGCAATAAGTCAAGAACTGTTATTGTTAGAACGCCATATGCAGCCATATGCAAGACAGAAATGGGACTAAGCCCAAGCAAAGTGTTTCATGCTTTTTTTTTTCCTTTCGAACGCCATTTGAGCTCATGCACGCCGATCATTCTCTTTTCTTGGACAAAAGGACAATAAACACAAGAAGCATTATTTTCATAAACTGAATGTCCTTGTCAGTCAGTGATAAACGAACACTCAGGAAATAAGAGAATGCAGAGTAAACAAAGAGTAATGCAAGCGGAAATAAACAAATAACTTTGTTTTATGAATATGAATAAAAACAAAGCAGCTTTGATTGTTCTTTTTCACAATGTTCAAATGCTATTGCAGTAGTATTTTCATGCATAAATATTAGAATTCATACACTCTTTCTAATGACAGAGCAGTGTTAAAGTTTGTATTTTCCAACGAATGATTATGGCTGGTTTTATCATTTAGGTTTACTGATCCCGAAATACTTGGCCACAAGTTACTATAAAAAGCTTTAAGCGGCAAATTCTACAAAGCTTGTAAAAGTCTCTTGACCGTTGCACTGCAGCTTTACCCAAAAATAATAAAACCTTTCAATCTAGCCTGAGGTGGCTCAAACCTTATCGCTTCTAAAGAAGGTAAAATACGGTCAAATGAAAGGCACACTGAAGAACAACACCTTTCTCTTTTACCTTACTTTTTACTTCTAAACTACTTTGACCATAAAAGGCTTGATATAATCCTGCAGGGTATAAAGTTAGGTTAGGATATCGTACAAGCATCCATGCAGATCAACCAGTGTGAAACAGCTTTACTATGTTTACTTGAGTATAGACGAAGAATATTGTCAAACGAAATAATATCAACCTTTAACATAAAGGAGCAAGAAGTGTATGATAACTCCAAGAATACGCATTACCATGGCAATGTGTAACCAACGGCGAATACGGGCCTAGCTCTATTATTGTGTCACAAAGCGACGAGTAAAATTTCTCTAGGACGCATGAATCTTTGAATTGACCGCATTGGCCATAAGCGCCTTTTTGTTCTTATGAGTTACACTAGACTACCCGTTGATTGTTTGTGTAGCATTAGGAAACGTAAATTGGTAACTTCATTGGCACCTAGATACTGTTTAAATATAGACAAGAACAAAGAAAAGAGTTGATGTGCAATAGAATAATAAAGAAAAGTGGAGTTGTAATTAGTTTACTGCTTTCTTATAAATATATTCTATTGACGTCATATGTACCCAAGGTAACTATTGACAGCCCAATATTAGGCAGAAGGTATTACGTAAATCTGACACCATACAAGTATGGATTGGGTCCTTGAGTGTTGGATAAAATACACTATAGCTTTTTATCCTTTCCCCCTCTTCACTTACTCACTAAATTAAATGTGACTTTGGGTCGTACTTAATTTTAATGCCCGACTTCTCTCATATTCTTTCTTGTTCGAGCTTAAATTGGGTGTGTTTGTATATGTGCGCATATGTGTGTGTGTATGTGTACACGGTTCGGATGAAATGCGTTTTATAAACTAATTTTTTTTTATTTTTTCTCTTTCTTTCTTTTTTTATATACTTATCGCACCACTTGAAAATATAATAATAATAGCAATATGAAATCGATGTGAGTCTTCATTTCCCCTTTCTCTTTATTCATTCTTTCTTTTTCTCTTTCTCTTTTTTATATCAATTAAAAATTATATCAAATATTTACAAGAAGGAGAAGAAAGAGAATAAAGAGAAAGGAATATTTGTTCAACGATACACAATTTTGACACCCTTTTTTTTTTTCTTTTTCATATAGCAAAAAGCATCTAGATTTAAAGAAAGTAACGAAAAGTAACAATAATGCAAGATCAGAAATTTTTACCATTTCTTTACACAAAAAGAAATCAATTGAAAAAAAAAGAATTCAGCTCGTCAATGACACCCAATCTATTGCTAAGCAGCTCGTTCACTCTTTATCAACTGCAGCTAAACGTCTAGATGTTCATTCAAGACAAGATACATCTATTGTGTCCAATCCTGATTGGCTAATTAACAAGAAGCCTCGACTGCAAAATCTTGAATTGCTTAAACAATACTTGACTTTTATTTCACATGAAGCAAAAACACAAGCTGATAAAGAAAATCAATCTATTCAAATCGCCTTAGACGAACCTGTGGATAATCCCACAGACCCCGCTCATCATGCTGCTCGTTTGGGTGCCTCTGCCATTGAAAAGATGGTTCACAATGACATGTTGAATAAACAATTGAATGACAATAATAATAGTACAGGTATTAAAAGAACAAACGGGGTGACTCCTTTCATTGCTAAACTAACCGCTTCACAGATGCTCTTCCAAATTTGGTAAACCGTCCTATTGACCGTCGTCGTCCTGGTAGACCACCTAAGCCCAAAGTCTTTTTTGATGAACAAATTATTCCTACGACATCAAGACGTAAGCAGAACCGCCAAAAGAAAGAAGACATCATTCAGTGTATCTGTGATACGCCTACTGATGAATTTGGTGCTATGGTTCAATGTGATGACTGTCTGTCCTGGCTACATGTTGACTGCTTAGATTTAACTAAACAAGACCTTGAGCAGTCCTATCGCTGCCCTCCTTGCTGTGTATCACTTGGAAGCAACAATCAATTACCAAAGTCAATGGCCTGGCGTTATGAAGCTCAGATGAAGAGTCAGCGTTTAGCAGCTATTAATGAGATATCAGACGATGATGATGATGATGACATGGATGATGATACGGATGCCATGGAATGTGACGTTGTTGAGCAACCCCTTCACGTGGACAACCTTAAATTGCCTGAACCTATCCGTATTGATACCAACTATTGTAAAGATATTCGCTCAAGATCTACCACGCCTGAGGACTGGCCTGATGTTTCATCTGAATCGCATTACAGTATCAGCAGCGCCAATACAAGTGAAGTCAGTACACCCAGTGAACACACACTTTGTGATCCATTTGAATATCAGCAAATAATAAGTCAAGGCAACCTAATTATTGATATTGAAAATTTTGAACTTTTATCACGGCTGGCTTATCTTCAAAAGCTTAAAGATGATTTATTCTCTCCTAATGCAACAGATGTATTCTTGTGTGAAGACAAGTAAGTCTTTATTTAGAACCTTTTCTTCTTCTTTTACTAACAAAACAATAGTAATAGTAAACACTTTATATCTCAACCAGATATCTCTAGTCAATTCACTACTCATCACGAATCATTACCTTCTACTATCTGTTCTCAAGAACTTTCGGAATTCTCTTTTGATAATGGTCCCTTTTGGCAACCTTTAAATTAAAAAATAATAGCATATTTGTAAATACCTCGCAACATTCACCCTTACTCCTCCCCCCTTTTTTTTTATCAAAGAAAGCAACACTCACACAAGAAACGCCCCTGAAATCCCTACAAAAAAAGTTTGTATTATATCCTTGCTCGCTCTTTATGTTCATATTTCGCATTTTATTCCTTATAAAAAAATCTTTTTACATAATAAAAAACATGGATAAAATAATGCCCCCTCTTAAAGATGCAGGATCTATCCCTTTGGATATACTGGAATGAGAGTTTAAGTTTGCTGCATGCACACCCTAAACAAATACAGTCAGTACGGTAGTTTACTAAAATATTATTCATATAAAGTTGGCAGGGATAAAGTACAACTTTGAGATAAGTGACTTATGAAAACCCTCAATTTCGAATACAATGTTATCTCGCATTAATCAAGTAACTACGCCACTTTTAGTGAGGAGACATCAACATCGCTGCATTCATAGCCTTTATTTTTAAGCTCCTACCATATTTCTTTGAAAAGTGATTATTGCCATTGTTTGATAAATCAACAACTGAGTTCAAACTGAGACTGACAGTTGTTTGAGCATTGTTCAAGGTACTGTATGAGTTGGACTACAGTTTCTTTAATAATTCAAACTCGCAATTCAAAATATCCTCACGAGTGCCTTCGACTTGAGTGAGGATTCGAAAATCCACACGGCCACTAATTATTCTTGCATCCTTTTCTAATGATCTTCTCTTCGCAGCCATTGATGCTTTGACGACAGAATCATCCCCTTTTGAATGTCAGTTTCACGCATAATATGAGAAGATCAACAAAATAATAGCTTACCGCTTCAAATTTAAACGATCACCATTGAAAATCTATGACAAAATTAGACACCATACCTTCCCTACAAAATTCTGATCTGTAACAGTCTTAAACTTTTGAGCGTGTAGAACGCTGTTCTTTTGTTGAGAAGTCACAAACTACCATCATTAAATAAGCTACTTAACACAAACCTCGAAATAATATTCACCGCTTGTGAACGCGAATTCTGCTTGATACTTAAGACATAAAATCATACAAAAACAAATAAAGTTATTTTTTCACTATGACAACAAAGCCAGCCATATACCTCTTAGACAGTAGTGTGAATCTATATAGAATTAGTTGAAGTTGTGATTTTTTATAATCATTACTTAATATTACTACTCTTGTTAATTCTTTTTTTTTTTTTTTTTTTTTTTGATCGGTCATTGCCGTTTTGGAAGGCAGTTCTGTGTATTTATTGTTTCTACACACACACACACACAATCAGATGATATTCTTATTTGGTTACCAATTCTATTTATGTGCTAAATATTTATTGTACAAAGAAAAAACAAATGTATTAGATATATACTATGATAGATCTTTATATGACAGGTCTATACATGGTTATTACTACTCTTGAATAAATGCAAAGAGAAAAAAAAAAATCTAGTCAAAAATAATTTTCGTAGGCTTGGCTGGTGCTCCTGTTGTTTCTTTAAAGAAGGCACCATAAGCACTGTGTGTCTTCTTCTTAACGGTTGTACCAAACTTGAGCAATTCTTCAGGAACGTCCATGTTGGCTTGTTTCAATACATTAATCAGTTCACCAGAATGAGCTTTATCTTCAGGCGTAAAAAAGGTATAGGCTGTACCCTTCTTTCCACCACGGCCAGTACGACCGATACGGTGAATGTAAGCTTCAATAGTCAAAGGGAACGTCAAGTTGACGACGTACTCAACATCAGGAATATCTAAACCACGAGCAGCAACATCGGTAGCAATCATCAAGGGGTAAGATCCATCCTTAAACGAGTTCAGAGCCTGTGTACGCTGAACTTGGTTCTTGTCTCCATGGATACCAATGACCTTGTATCCATGGTATTCGAGTGATTTTTCAACACGCATGGCTTCCTTTTTGTACAAGGCAAAAATCAATACTCTGTTCTTTCGTGATTTGTGAATCTTTTTGAGCAAATCCAAAAGGTGGCGTTCCTTGTCTCTTGGGTTCTGAATCACTTGAACGATTTGTTGGACATTTTGTGAGGCAGCAAGATCAGTAGAACCGATCGTCACACGCATTGGATTGTTCAAAAAGTCGCTGGCAAGCTTGCGGATACTTTCTGGCCATGTAGCAGAGAACATGAGTGTTTGACGGCTCTTGGGTGAATGGCTCATGATGGATCGAATGTCATTTTCGAAACCGTCGTCGAGCATACGGTCAGCTTCGTCAAGGACCATAAATGATACTTCAGACAAGTCACATACACCTTCATTCATCAAGTCAATCAAACGTCCAGGTGTAGCAACAACAATGTCCACACCACGTTGGAAGGCTTGACGCTGAGGATATTTGTCAACACCACCATAAACACAGATACAGGTGACACCAACGGCCTTACCAGCAGCTTCGGCTTGCTCGGCACTCTGCATGGCCAATTCACGGGTAGGAGAAACGACAAGCATGGATGGCTTGCCTGTCTTCTTTCCTCTCTTCAATTTAGATGCAATATGAACCAACCCAGGAATGGTAAAGGCAAGAGTCTTTCCGGAGCCTGTTTCTGCAATACCGACAATATCTCTGCCAGAGAGGGTAATAGGCCAAGTAGCAGCTTGAATGGGTGTAGGATGGGCAAAGTTCTTGACCACTTGCATCATGTTATCAGGCAAATTGGCATATTTGAATTCCATAATAGGACGAAGATTTAGGTCTCCTTGGATATCAATGGTATGTTTCTTCAAGTATTCGTCAATTGTGCTCTGAGGAAGTGCTGACAATTCTTCGTTTTGTTTGTATTTGTATGAAGCAAGAATCTCTACATTCTTTTCAGTTTCATTGGCTTTTTTGACAGCTGTTTCGTTCTTTGGCTCCTCTTGCTTTACTTTCTTTTCCTTCTTTTCCTTCTTTTCCTTTTTCTCCTTCTTATCCTTCTTATCCTTTTTGCTCTTCTTCTTGTCCTTCAAGACCTCATCTTGTTCTCTCTTTCTTTTCTCAGCCTAATCAAGTGAACTGTATGAGTAATCTATCCTCTTTTTCTTTCTTATTTGTTCATTTACCTTTTCGATTATTGAAGGGGACATTTCTAGTTTAAAAAAGCAGTTTTTTTTTTTTTTTTTTTTTTTTTTGTAGGTTTAAAAGTCAAATAGAAAGGCACCGTGACTGCGTCACCTTCGCCACACAACCTTTCTGAGATTCAATCAGTCTCGTCTTCTACTTTTGCAATAAAAAATGCCAATAGATGCAGAAAAGAAACATCAACTAGAAGACATTTTGTCAGACAATGTCTCCATCATGGACACAGAAGATGCTGAACAAGACTCTGGTAGCTTTATCATAGAAGAAGAGGCAAAAGAAGGGTTTTGTGTGGAATGTAAAGACCAAGAGGTTGTTATAACTCTCAAAAAAGGGCATATATTCTAACTGTACAAACATACAGGCAGTTGTTCTTTGTACAAGCTGTAATGAAGCCTTTTGTGAAGTCTGTTATGGTAAATAAAAAGATCGCCCTTCTCTATTGCATTTGCATATTTTAACTTTTTTTTATAAAAGGTATGATTCATAGAACAGGAAAGAGAGCTACGCATAAAGCAAGAAAATACGCTACAAAAATGGAAACAAAAGAGGAAGAAAGCAAAGAGGAAAGAGAAAAATACACCGAAGAAAATGTAATAAAAAAGAGAAAGGGTACAATATGTATACTAAAATGGGATTAGGTTGACGTGAAGCCTCAGTCGTTGTCAACGGATATCAATATTGGAGAAATAATGGAGAATAGAGCAAAGTACATACCATTACGTTTACAAATGGAGGAGAGAAAGTATCTGCGTCTGTAAGTATATAGAAAAAGAAGCGCTTGACACTGTAATGATATATATACATGTGTAGGTTAGAGGCAGCTCTGAACGTAACAGAGTACACAGGTAATATTTAACTTTATAATAAACGACAAGGTCTCGACTAATGTCTTTTGGCTGGGTGTATAGACAAGATTGATGATGCTTCAAACATGGGAAAAGCGAAAAGAATAGTGAATCAAATCAAAGAATTATGCGCCATTTTGACAGGCATCGTTCTTGCTTGTGATTATAAGCGTGGTCAAGAGTTATTTGCGGATAGAAGCTTTGAAGAGAATGAAGAATTCTTTCAAACCATATTTGAGATTGGCCGTCGTCACAAGATCATGAACCCTGAAAAGATGAGATCTGCCTATGGCAAACTCATGTATCTATTGTCTGTAAGTGTAGTATTCTTGCTAAACATTATGTAATACTCACTTGATGCGCTATATAGGACTCGATGATCCCTGAAGTAAGAGAAATGCTAGGCTTTGATTGCGTTGTGCCAATTAAAACCGTTTATAACTTCTTGAAAGAAAGACATGGGTTGAAGGTGCTGCATGAGGATATCGTACTTTTGGCTACAAGAGAAATTATTCCTGAGGGTAAAACACGACCACAAATTCAAGCAGAGATCAGACGTAAAGAAAAGAGTATCGAAATCCTAAGTAGAAAGTATCAATCAAAATACCTCTCTGCCGATGAAATCAGACACTGTTTGTACAGTATTGGCGATAATAACGCCTATTTAAGAGCTAATCGGTAACTATTATTTTGCAACCTTGTTGGCACTTGTTTTGATATTGATTGATAATAGTGATCCTTGTGAAAAAATGATTCAATATCTCGAAAAGCTTTTTGATCCCAAAAATGATAGTAGCAACGAGTTTTCATTATCCATTGCTTCAGGAAACCAAGGCCATCGTCTGAGTCATGATCACGAAACACAGTACATCTATGTGAATCAAACATTGAAACTTTGGCGCGAAATTCTCAATGACATGTTCAAGCTTTGGACTCTGGCGGATCAAGATATACTGTCACCCTCCAACCCTTACCGTCTCTCTCAGACAGGTCAAGGTCTTCACAGGGTTCAGGCATGTCCTGCTATCTCAAGAGAAATGCATCGTATCCTTTTCAAGGCGCAAAAAAAGGCTGGTATTTGGATTGGCAGTAGCGTTATTCACTTGGGCGATAAAAATGTGCCAAATGCGCTCATGTTTATTGAC